TTGAAAGCAGGATTTGATCCCAAAGAGATGAGGGCTCACTTAAAGAGATATAAAGTATGGAAATGAAGGCTAGAGGTTGAAGGAGAAATAGGAGCTCTACAGTAACCCTATGGGGCAGATGTGGGAGCCCTAGCTTTAAAATCCATTTATAAACTGGGCTCCCACAGCACTCTTATTCAGATGACTCTCAGCAGCAGGTCTCTTCCTGGGTCACGACCAGCTCATTCTTTACGCAGACACAGGGGAAGTCAACTTACTTTGGGTGGGAACAGTGAAGGCAAAAGGCTTTTGAGTAGTTTCAACTTTGCACTTCCCATCACTGAAAGCATCTGACAACTTTCCTTGCCGTCCTGTTTTGTCTGATATTTTCATCCAGTATTTTTCAGCCCTCAGAGCCTCTTACAGCTCAATTTGGAACTCATTATATTTTTGCACCATTGATCACACCAAAACAAAAGCTTCTTAAACTCTGATTACCAGCGATAGAGGAGAAAAAGATGTGAAAGCTTTGTTTAAGAATGGAGCAGTTTTTAGTGCAGCTATGATACAGCAAGTTAGTGCAGCAACAGTGCAAGACCTTATGAAACAGGAAGATGATGTTTGTTTCGAAAAATCGTTTCAGCCACACTTATTTTCTCACCCACACTCACTCCCCTTGTACTCACAGGCACCAAGCTCGCCCAGGCGCTCTGGCAGGATCCCACATGAGATGAGACCAAGCGTGCCAGATGCCAAGTCCTCACTGCATCTCTTGGGTTCCTCTTCACTGGCAAGCTACAAATTCTTCAGCAGGTCTTTTGCTGTCTTCAGGAGATAACGGTTACTGCAGTGTGATCCATTTGCCTTGAAGTCTCATTTACCTGGGGCAGGTGGCTGCTCAGTGCCTTTTTTCCCCTCTCATTTTGGGTACTTTAGCTGCCACGGTCTGTCTTCCTTCTGGGAAGAGGACAGCTCACACACAAGATGTGCTGTTGAGCTTACTGTGATCCTTCTGTTACTGGAGCACAGTTTTCTTCCCCAAAGAGTCATCTGCACATGGGCTTTATCAGCACCCATGCCTTTTGCTGACAAGCCATCCATGTGAGGCTTATCAGGGTGCAGGCTGCCGGACTTGTCACAAACACATTTTTTCGGCATTTATCCACTTTTAGTGCAGTCGGTCGTGTCCTTTGGTTATCAATACAGACCATTCCTTTAACCTTTGATTTGCTGCTGTTTGACTCTTCTCTCTCTCACACACACACACATGCACACACACTTCATTCACATTTCCTTCAGGCCTGTTGTAGTATTTCTGCTTCTCCAGCTGCATGCCTACCTTATGCATGGTGTACCAGGACCTTCGCTCCACAGGCCATCATCACAGATGGGTAAAGGTCTCCTTGGTTTGGTTAGGTTATAGCAACAGCAAAGGGAGTAGGTTTTAGGGCTGCTGTGGTAACCATGCTGCTCAGTCTGCTGCTCAAATGTAGGCAGGTCTCCTGCTCGGAGCTTGTGGCACAGCACGCATGAGCGCAGCAGCAGTGGCAGTCTTCTGGAAATTAGAGGATGTTGAAATTCTGGAGGGGAACAATACAGCCTGTTCCCGGGTGCCACTACCAGACTCACCACAAAGGATTTTAAATAGTTTACACCCAAGATCTACTGACAGCGTTAGAGCTGGAGCTGTTTTCAGTCTGTCATGTGCCAAGCAGCTCCCTGTGACAGCACAGGGTGAGACCATTGTCACCAGTGTAGCGCAGACTTGGTAGCATTCTTATACCCAGGCTGGCATTAACCTCAGCTTCTCCCACAAAGCTCTGGTGAGACAGGATAGCTGCAGTTATCCCATGGCAGAACCACAACGCTCACAAGGAGGCTTTTGTGCATATACATTTTCTCATGCTCATGCCACAGTCTTATGAGTCCAGCCTTCTCCCAGCACACAGACACCAAGCAAGGCCGGGACTCTCTCACTACTTTCCCACTATTCCCAGGCTCCCCTCAACTCTGTGGCTTACACAGCTGACTCCAGCTCTCAGCAGTGCTGTCTGCCCACAACCTACGGGAAACTGATACAAAACAGGTAATACTGGAGCCCACCATCATACCACCATCTGTTGAACCTCAGCCTTTCCCTAGTAACAAATTGAAACATTTAAATTTGTCACAGTGCTTTTGACCCATATACTGCCAAGGAGTTTACAGAGGTCAGCACCATTAGCCCCATTTCCCCAGATGAAGAAAAAGCCTAAGGGAGCAGCGCATGCCTGGTTCTCTGTCCTCTGGACCACCTCATCCACTTGCCTGGGTAGCTCCCATGTGCCAGGGCTCACAGCACACTTCCTTCCTGCAGAGAGGCAGAATTCCCAGGGTCCATGGAAAGAGCAGCACACTTTGGCTACAACTACTCTTAAATTCATCTTCCATCATTTTGATATATTCTCTGATGTTCTGCCAGACTAACAACAATTTGGAGATTAATGGTCTAGTAAAGTACACACATGACTCATGCTACAATATCTATGCAGTTCTGCTACAACTTTAAAAACAGGAGATAAAAATTGAAAATGTCATTTAGGTTAGGAGAAACATGCTGAAAAAGAGAAACACAGCCAGCAGAGTCCCATGGAGGAAAAAAGCATTCCCTGTGTCTTCTTCCTGCCATCTGACTTTGGGGATGGAGGAAGGAGAAACCAGAGTTAAAAGAATTCACTACTACATTAAAAAGATGCTAGTAAACCTAAAGACTGACCACTACACCACACCAAAGGTTCCCGAGATGTGTAAATTTACGGTTACAGTCTTTTAAGAAATAAAGGGGCAGAAGAGGTTCTCCAAATCCCTATTTACAGAAGGACATCTATTCCCAGCAAGGCCTATGGGATCCAGTTAGCATTCTAAGACACCAAGTGGCCAAAACACTGGAAGGTCCTTAAATTGGCAGAGAAATTACTAGTCTCTGTAGCTGAGACATGCTTTGTAACCTAAAAAGCAACTGTAAAATTACTGTCTTTAACAAGGAGTTCATAGCATGGGGCCAGGTTCTATTGTAAATCACTATTTTTAAGATGAAGTGGAAAGGTTTAACTTCACAGTTTGCTTACATGCTCTGTTTGCTCTGCCACAGAAAGGGACTACTGTATCTCTGTCTTATGCCATAGTTTCACCTTTCAAATAAGGTCCCAATTCCCTTTGGTTAATGAAAGAATAAATCCTAAACAACATCAGTGGAACATTCTTTTCTTCTTTTCTGTATGACTTCCATGCTTTTGGTTGCAACAGTATTTCTAAGTTTTGTAAACAAGAGCCTGACCACTAGATTTAGCAGAATAAAGATCTTTTCAGCTTCCGCTGTTTTCATGTTTACTGCAGTCTCAAACAAAGATGACAAACAGTAAGCTTCCTATATTATTTCAGGAAAGCGAGACTAAATATATAGAAGCTTTAGATCAGCTTACCGAGCACATTCAATTCAAGACAAAATTGCAGATTTCCAGTGTATTTCCCACAAAGCAGTTGGAGCCAATAGCCAAGGGTTGATTGTGGCCAAGAGCAGATGTTCTCCCTGGCAAGAGCTGCCCCCTCCCATTCTGGCAAACAGCAGGTGGCAGGGAGGGACAGTTTTCAGCAGAGGAACAAATGCCACTCCATTACCTGTCCTCACCACCAACCCACACCCCACACAGGAGCTCGATCTTCCCTCCTGCTGCATGCCTGCTCCCTGGGCTCTGCCATGCACTCTGGATGTTTCCATCCCATTAGTTCTACTGAAGGGTCTCCAAATTCCCTCCATCCCTCACTTTTGGAGGAGTCTACCTCTTCTTGCTACAGCCCAGGGAGAAAGGTGCAGAGGCTGCTGCCTCCCCTGCCCCCATCTGCAGTGTCACTTCTGGTGAACGTTAGAAACCACAGCAGCTGATGCGGCCGTTCCTGTCACTCCACCACCTCGGGTGCCCTTCGAGCAGAATGTGACAGTGCTGTGAACCATCTGAGGGGTTGAAGCGGTTTCTGCGTCCTGAGCTGCTGAGTCACCTTTTCCAGTCAGCACAGAGCTCAAAGGCCAGTGATGGTTTGAGCTTCGGCTGAAAGATTGCAGACAGTTAATGAAGACAAGCTAATTCTCATTCCTTTGTAAAAACAGGTCCATTTTCTTTGCATCCTCTCCCTCAAGAACAATCTGGCATTCACCATCCTATGTAATCAGAGCCAAGATTCTCAAGAGGGTCAGAAACAAAGGGGAGAATACAAATCAACTAAGAGCCTTTAACTTCTGCTTAAGCAAAATAAAAGTGTTTGGTCAAAGGTGCAAGTTCCAGCCTGTAAACCATTCAGCTGCCACATAAGGGTTACTTTTTGGTCAGAAGAGATGTAGCATACAGCTGGATGAAGGTCACAAGGGAGCATGGGACAGCATGGGTCAGGCTGGTGGACCTACGCCTCCTTATTTCAGAAACTTAATCCCTGTGTTGACATCACAAGGGGAATGTGAAAGGGAGTGTGAAGGCAAACAGTGAAGCGGCTCTGCACATCCTCACAGAAAGCTCTTCCCAAGCTGGAAGGGACAAATATGGGCTTCAAAGGGTTTAGACAAGAACCTATAAGAGGCATAGTTGTAGCATTGCTGGTGCTGGCTAAGCACCAAGAGAGTAGTGACAGTAGTGACCACTACACAGCCTGCATCACCCTTGAGTGTGAACAGCCAGTGCAGGACTGGGGACAGAGGGACAAGGAGCCCAAAGAGCAGGATGGGAAACAGATCTTTCCAGCATTTTCCACATTTGGGGGCAGCAGATGCATGAGAGGATGTGAGCAGATGAATTTGTTCAGTGTGCACTTAGCCGTCTCTGTTCCCTTCCATCTGGTCTCTCACACTTTTTCCCTTAACTCATTTCTTTATCTGTACTGCTAATGCAGCACTGTTTCAGAGCACAGGGCTGTTTTTGCATGTCTCCTTGTGTTGCAGTGAAGATTTCCACATCCCCCCCAATAATTTTAATCTAAGTGACTTTTACACTTACCCTCCTTCTGTTCTCTCACTTGGGCTGGTGGTGGCTTTCAAGTTAGACAAGCTGAAAGTTATTGCAGATTAAAAAGAACAAGGCTAGGGGACAAGGAGAAGCACCTTGTCTCTTCTCTTTCAGCAGCACAGATTTATGTCAGATTATGCCAGCTGTAGAAGTGCACCCTTAGGCTCTGCTGCTCTCCACGAAAGCATACTGGCAACAGCTCTATGACTAGGAGACAGTGATGGAAGTGCCTGCCATAAACCTTCAGCTCTGCTCAGGGAAGGGAAGTTTCCACTGAGTTGAAAGATAAAGCCAGTTCTCACATCTAGATAACAAAACAATAAGGAAATAAAATTTTAGAAGTGGTCCCCATCTAACTCAGCCTTCAGAAAACCAACAGTGGTGCTTCTCTTTTGAACATCATTTAGAATTTTGCAATTTAAGTTTGATTAGTCTCAAGCAATACTAATCTCTTACGGGGTGGCTCCCCAAAATCACCTCTGTGTATCTACTTCATCTCAACGTTCAGCCCAAACCCTTCTGTCTTTAAAAACATTCTAACCACCTTGAACAGATAATTTCCAAGCTGAGAACTCAGCTCCTGTATCAACACACTTCCCACCAGATCCAGCTCTGTGGAACACTGAAACTGAGCACTGGGCTAGTAAGAAGGTACAAAATACCTACCCAGAGGGTATTAACCCAAAAGTTTCATTTCCTAGTTGCTCCCAAACCAACAGGTGCTAAAGGTGTAAAGATGTCTTTGGGAAAAAAAAGGAATGTGACCAAGAGTGATACTTTTCCTATACTAAGCCAGTTATGCAACTTAGGAAAGAACAAAAAGATTATAAATTATTATAGCTTCTATAACTCTTCCCTTTTCAGGTATCCAGCCTCTTAAATTTATTTGTTCTCCTCTAGAAATTCCTTGAGAGTTTTCTATATGCTTCTGGTAATTAGAATTCAAGAGGCAAACAAAAAGCTTATTGCAGTGGTCACAGTAAAGCTGACTAGAGGACAACCTTCTCCCTCCATGGTAAGGCAGCTGAGCATATATGTAAAAAAATTAAAACTGTGAGTTATGGCTGTCCCAGACATATATATATATATATATATATATATATATATATATATATATACACACATATATACACACACACATACACACCTCTGCATATTTTTTTCTGGAAAACATTGTCTTTCTAATCTATTCAGAGTTTGAATGTCCAATTTTCCTCCCAAAGTCACATTAGCTGTGCTTTTACAAGCTTGGCTTGAAGCCTTTTATTTGCTCTTTATGTTTCCAACCACTCTTGGCTTCTTTAGACTTTTTCCTCTGACTTAATTGGTACTTGCACTGGTCCTCCTAGCACTGACAAACTCCATCTGTAAATCAGCAATGATTTTATACTTTTTAGATCATTATTGAAAATGTCTAATGCCATTGGGCCTCTTGCAGAATACTTCTGGAAACACAGCTGTTTAGTGATTATTTCCTTTGATGAATATCATTAATAATCCATTAGCTCATTCTTTGCTAGAGAGTCAAAGGGAGACTTTTATAATCACAACAACATCAGAAATTCATCTATTGTGAAGAAGTTTAAACATGGAAGATATTAATATTTGCTGTTTTCAACCACGTTTGTTATCTCTGAAAAATAAAACAAGTGCAAATAATTATTTGGAAAATAAAGGACCGGTGCCTTCCCAGTCCTACACTTATAATCAACTCATGGCTGTACAATAGCAACCAGGGAAGTTAGTTCTTCCAGTTCCCTCCCCTTTTGTATAGTAGTTCCTAACTATCAGGGAAGTAAGGTTTTATAGAGTCCCTTAACTTAGAGTCAAGATTTATTCAACAGTCACTAAGTTTTTAAGAATACTTATTTTTTCTTAGAACTTTGATGAGTGATAACATGCATTAGACAAAATGCAGCCTGTTTTCCCAAATGAGAATCACACCAGGCTTGTGTGACATCTATTTTGTTCAGTCAGCTGACTTACTGTGTAAACAAAAGAGCCTTCAAGAAAGCAAAGACAAATTAAAAAATCTACCAGTACTTGAAATACTTCACATCACCCCTTCTTATAAATGGATTCTCTGACCAAGTTCCAAACCCAAAAGAAACGTAATCCTTGAAGTTCTTGCTGCCAACTCTTGAAGATGGGACTACCTCCATTCTAGGATGCAGATTAATATGTTCACTTGAGGGAACTACATAAACCCATGTTTGCTTCCATCTGGGATGAGTAATTTCCTTTTCAATGCATTCATTCTGTTATCCATTTTGACAGTGTTACCGATTTCTACAACATTATTCTGAAAGCTACTTTGACAAGTTTTATGCTCTACAAAACCAAAAGAATACTAGCTATTAAAACCTGATTATTGAGGTGATCTATCCAGTAATTTAGATAAAACTGATGTCAAGTTAAATTGGAAATAGTTCTCCAGGCTACCTACCATCATACTGCTGGGATATTGGATCAACAATACTATTCTTCCCATTGCATGAGATATCCCTAGTGTTCCAGTTTGCTGAAATGAAAATCATTGAGTATAGATCTTCTCAATAAATATTTGGCATACTTAATTTTAAATTGTTGTAAAACTTTATTGCCCCCCAAAATGTTAATCTACAAAACAAGCTAATTAGTTATAATATGTTCATGAAATATTCCTTCATATCAGAATTAATTTCTCTCCCCTCAAGTTTGGAAAAGTGCTTAACCAACACTTTTCCAGGATTTTTCCTGCATCATCATTAAAATCTTACCCTGTCCACCTCCATAATGATTACACAATTGCTAGATATACATTATTTTGTTCCTAAGAACACAAAATGCTTCCTTTTAATTGTGCTTAGTCCTGCTAAATTTAGATTTCCCCTGACATCTTTACTTTCTCTAAATAATCTTCCCCAATTTACAGTCTGTATTTTCTATCGGATGTTCTCCAATTCCTCTTTCTCCACTTCCTTGCCATTTACTTGTGTTAACTTCTACTTGCTGCCTTCACTGTCTGAATGAACAAGTCAAAGTTATCCTCATTCTTGGTTTTGAAGTGCTGGTCAGTATGTCTTCTTTAAATTTGTGATTTTCCATTCACATTCTTTTACTTTTTTTTTCCCCATAAGATTTTGCTTGATTATTGTTGTATGCTGGAACAATCCATAGAGAGCAGTCATCTGATTAATTAATTCATCATGTATATAGAGAGCTCCCAATCAGTTACTACCTTAGTACCTTCTAGGTTAAAATAAATATATTTTAGAAGGTCTGCTGATTTTCACTGCTGTCTACATGAGACCACCATCACGCTCTCCGTGGACTGAAGGACACCTATATATTTTTCAGTAACATGTATTTTTCAGGCAGTCATGCTTTCTGTCCAAGAAGGTATTCAACACTAATCACTAATATAACCTGTTGCTCTGTAGCATCCCAAGCAGAATTTCTTCCTTGGCTATGTTAATATATTAATCCAAATATCAAAGCAAAGATGACAGCATCAATATTTAAAATCAGGCTTCCTTGTGGACAAGGCTCACAGGAAACAGGTCTCTTACTGAAACACTCCCTAATAATTCCTTTTTGATGAAAGGACATGGCCTTGGTGTGCATTTGTGCCTCATTTTAAGGTGGAAACTTTCCTGATACCTGATAGATACTGCCTGTCCTGGACTCCCCCATGTTGAACCCATTGACTGCTGCCTGTGTAAAAGATACTGCAAGAGGAGTTCTCAAAAACAGTGTCGTGTTTTCTGTCCCCCCCCCAAAACACAGTTTCTTGCTATTTATTGCACTAATTTTCTTTAGGCTCTTACAAGACCTGCATGCTCTGTGGGTCAGCCCATTCTGACACCATCACTGCCTCTTCTGCAACTGTCCTGAGCACTGTCAGTTTTCTTCAGTTTCCTTCTGTCTCTTTAAAATTCCACTTTCTAAAAGAAGGCTTATTTGGTCCTCTTTGCTAAATCAGCTCTCATTATCTAAGTTTCTTCCCTGTGATTCCTCACTCACTAGAAATCTCCATTCACGCATTGTATTTTATTTTTGGAATGAAACTTTTAAAAGACTGGTTTCAAAGCTGTTCTTATCTCCCTCCTTAGCAGAGGCAAATTATCTCTAAATACTTCCAGCTTCACTCATGACTGCATAAACTAATGAGCTAACCTTCTCCTTCTGCCATACTTTGCTTTAAATTTTGATGTACGTCAGACTGAGAAAACGCTTCTTCCTCCCAAATGCTATTAATTACATTCTATGAAGCTAAAACCTCGGAGAGGTCTAGTTTACCATTTTGTTTATTCTAGGCGGCAAAAAAAAAAAAAAAATCACATTTTGTTTCCCTGTTGTCATAACAATGATAAATTAGAGACTTCCACCTGGTACTGAACAAGAAACTATCAAAATAGTGGAAACTATTATCCCTAAGCTTCTCACTCAATTTAAAGGCTAAGTTTCTGCCCAGATATTTTTTCAGTGTACTGCTTCTTGCTTATTTGTCCGAGTTCCTGCTTTGTGTTCGAAAGCCACGCAGAGCTCAGTGCTGTCAGCAGTACAGAAAGACGGACCCTATTGCAGAAGGCGCTGTAAACAGAGGGTAAGGCACCCAGATGGGTAAGGCACCCAGATAGACAAAAGCTGATACTAAACTAGGAAATGTTTCTGCCAAACGTTGTGTGACTAGTGCTGCTACGTGCACCGTGTCAGCTGATTATAAAAAGCAAAGCCTAGTACAAGTCATGTATCTTGCAGAAAAATCCCGGTGCAACAGAGCTATTGCCAGGTCTCTCCCCCGATCCCCAGGATCGCAGTTAAGGCCAGAGGGCTGCCCGGCTGCCGAGTGGCGAATCCTCCTTTTCCGAGACCATGAACCGGGAGCCCCTCGTACCTAGCACAGCACTGCTTCCAACCTCAGAGCTATTGCCTCCCACCGCGGTTTTCCAACAGCTAACACTTCCACTGAGTTTTTGCTCTTCCCTCCCCGCCCCCTTCGCCCTTGGAGAGCGGCCCCGGCCCCGCGGGCAGCGCCGGCGGCAGCCGGGACTCGCAGCCGGCTCTTCCCCGCCGCGGGGAGGGAATCCCTCGCACTGACGCCACCAAACTTCTGGCAGACGCCGGCGCGGAGCCTCCGCTCCCGCCCGCCCCGCTGCACCGCCCGGGACCCCCCAGCCCGCGGGCACCTCCGGCTCCTCCCGGCCCCCCACCCGGGCACCCCAGTCACAACTCGGCATTGTCCTTCAGGAGCGACCCGGAGTCCAAGGGCTGGAAGATGATGTCAGCCGGGGGCGGACTGCGGCAAAGGCTGCGCCCACCCCGGCAAGCCCCCGCCGCGGAGCCTTCGCCCACCGCCCGCAGCGCTCCGCGGGCGCGGAAGGAGGGACGCGCCGCCCGGGGATGCCGCAGCCACAGCTCCCGCCTGACTGGCACATCCAAAGGAGCTCCTCATGAATATGCACAGCCTCCCCCGAGTGCCGGCCGCGGGATGCCGCCACCCCGGGGGCTCCCCGCCGAGCCCCGCCGCCCCCCCGCGCCCCTCGCCGGGGGTGAGGGCTGCCTTTGGAGGTCAGCGGTTCGCTTCTGTCCTTACCCTTTGGCTCATCCATCAGTGCTGGTGCTCGCTCCCTCCTCCCTCGCTCCCCCCCTCTTCCTCTCTCAGCCTCCGCCGGCTCCGAGCTGCCTTAGTGAGAGGTGCTCATGAAAATGGGCGCTTTAGTGGTCCATGGCTGTGGGAGGGGTTAGTTTAACTCTACATGACTCAAATCCATTTAACTTGCAGGCTTGACCTCCTGGTCTCCTCAAAGCAGATTACCTCAGAGCTACGGCGTTACCAGCACCTCGGGTTTATCCGCCGTCTCGGAGGGTCCCGCCCGGAGCTACCCGAGGGAACGGCCGCTGGCTCTGCCGGGCCGTGCTCTGGAGCAGGACTGCATCCTTGGCCCGGGACGGGGGGTGGATGGTATTGTGGCTGCAGAGAGAAAGTCTTTTGTTAGGCATTTTCTTTTCTTTTTTTTTTTTTTTTTTTTTTTTGGGTGTGGGTTTTGTTTGATTTTGTTTTTCTTAATTCGCAGAAGACTGAGCAGATACACCAACGACACAGGAACTGCCCTGAGAAGAGATGACTTTCCTTGTTTCCAAATATGAGGTCCAGCCCACGGGAAAAAACCCCACCAAATCATGAAAGGAGACAAAGTTGCAACAGCTACTCAAAAGTCATCTCCTGTACCTACCTGTCTCATAGAATGAGCTCATACCTCCAGCTGCATCTCCAGGGGAACTTCAGGAAAGAGTCAATTTTAGCCTACTTGCCTGGAAGGCCTGAAGGAAACCCACCCTCCACCACTTTTTATCCCTGACAGACTTCACACAAATTAGAAATACAAGACAGTGCTGGAAGAGTCTCAGCAACTTTTCTCCACATCTTCTGTCATTCAAGTCCCATTCCAGGCATGGCAAGTGGCCCCACGCTCCCAACCTACAGATTTGTCAGCCTCCCACTCCAAAGGAAGTTGCCAACCACCCTAGCTCTTTTGCTTCCTTCTCAGACTGGTGAAGACCAGCTTCCCAGCATCTTCCCTGCTAGTTACCCAGAAGGTGAAGCCACTGGAGCACAGGCCACGAGCACCTGCAGCCAGCTGCTATGCCCTGCCTGTGCCAGAACCTGCTCCCCTCTCAGAAGTGTCACTTTGACTTTATCTTTGCAGTTGGACAAGTGAGTGCACATCCCTACAGCTGGACACCATCCAGCTCTGTGCCTACCACCAGCTTCCAGAGGTCTTGCCCCAAAGAGAGGCAGGAAGGGCAGGATTCTGATGCTAGGACCTGGAGAACCACACCTGGACATGGGCTTTCAAAACCCTTTACAGCCCTGTCACAAACAATGACCAGGACTTTCTCCTTCACAAATAAATGTTCACTTGGCTTGCATCACTCCAACGGACAATACAACACTCCTGTTTATAATCTTTCTGGGAATAGGAAAATAGGGATCAACAAAATAAAACAATATACATAATTAAGGCTTTAGTGAGTAGATTCTTTCTGAATTACTGTTAGCTTTGGTTTAAAAGCCCAAGGAGAAGTGTTTCAGCAGATGAAACTGAAGGTAAACTTTAAGTGTTTGTCATCTTATTGAGAAAAATTGGCCTGGGAAGCACAAGGGACAACTGACCTTACCTGAGGGCTTAGCATGGCGGAAGTAATTTTGTTGGTCACCTTGAAACATCTTTTTTTTTTTTTTTTAAAAAAGAGTCCAGTTGATATAATGTTTAGTTAATAAATGCAACTTTAAACATCTTCACTGTAGTAAATAACTGTACAGATGTATCAGTAAGAAATACTTTTTTTTTTTGGAACAAGACTGATAGAAGTATGAATGCTTATGTACCAGTCACACACTGATTTCTATAAAGAATACTTGCCAGTAGAGTATCATCACAGGAAATAACACATATATATATACATACATATATATATATACATACATATATATACATATATATATATATAAAATACCACACATTAAATAAATTAAACCCAGCTGGACAGTAGTTTTAAAAAATAGTTGGAATTTAGGACTGATTTTTCAAATGCTGTGCTTAGACCCACTACAGGTAGAAACTCAAGAAGCTGAGTCAGCTGGGCTTACCAAAGAGCTCACCTAAGGGCTGAGGAGTATATAAGCAGAAGGTATATACAGGCCCCTCTCAGAGAAAGATAGACATGACTTCATGCCATGTTGAACACCTCTTAGGATGCCCAGACTGGTGTATTTCAAGTCCTTTCAAAATGTATATGTACTTGACAAACCACAATAAGCTCTTTTTTACCAATGTGCCAGTGACAGGTTTTGTGGTTTGGGTTTTTTCCCTGAGGAACTTCAGTTTCAAACTGAGACAGATGAAACTTTTATGGGGAAGGATGATACACTAAGAGTCAGTGATCACGAAACAAACAGACAGCAGTGTTTTCACACAAGAGGAAGTTTTTACCTGGAGCATAAGGGCCCCATGGGGAAGGGTTGCCATGAACGGTTATAGTTATGGTCTACTACACCTAAAAACATCCAAGTCATTCACAGAGTTACAGGGAACAGATTTCTGTGTTGAAGACGATCTACTTTAAGTGATGGACTGATAAACATGTGAATAGTATTCCCACAGCTACAAGATCAGTGAATGGTGTTACACACTGTTCTGCAGCCATTAAGTTTAGTTGTAAGGGACAGCAATGAAACAGGGACAGCTTTTCCTCTGTCACAGCCTAAAGGGAAGGGGGGACTTCATAACCTCATATGACATGAGATGCAGAGTTCCCCTTCCACGGAGGGTCAGATCCACATTTGCCAGAGCAGTTTTGTTCTGTCTGATGATCCTCCTGCCTTTGGGCAAACCTCTGCCTGCAATCCACAAACTAGCAAAAGGCTACAACAGATTCTGTGTCACAGCCATTTCCATAAGAAAACAAAATAAGGAAAAAAAGTGGCCCCGGAGGCAGGCATTTGTACTCAGATAAGGCTCCAGACATTGTGAGGAGGAAGCTTGAAAACACAAATAAAAAGAGGAAACCAGAGAGCTCAGGATGTAGTTTCCACACATCTTGAGCAGGGGGTAAGAATAGCAAAAAACCCAGAGTGCCACTCTTCTACTCCCAGGACAAAAGAGAGCATCCTGAGCAAATTTGGAGGAACAAAATATGTCTTAGATATCCATTTTCTTAGCCACAGTAAGAGCTTAGTTGCAGCCATCTTGCTCTAAGTTTACACAAGTTGTGTGTGTGTTTGCCTGTGTCTAAGAATGTGAAACTTCATAGATGTCTAGAATTTGCTGTTTTGCAGATGAGGTATGCTGCCTTTGGGACTCAGAAAAGGAGAAAGAGTGAGTAAGCAGTGGGACATCTTTGCTCCATTTCCAGAAAACAGGAGACCAATTGAGGTGATGAACACTGAAATCCAGGGCCGGAACTTCTCAGCTTTGGGATGGGGAAAAGAAACAGCCATTGAAAAAAAGAGTTAGGGAGCCTGGGAACAAAGTTACAGGCATTAGAAGCACAAGTAGCTTGTTGCCACAGAAAGAATTGCTATGAAAAAATCTGAAATATTTTAAATGGAAACAGGCCATCCCATCACCAATCTCAACTATATTGAAGTAATCCATGTCTATGTTTGCTTAGGGGGCTAAGAGTATGTATTTAGATTACAACGTATCACTCTGTATGTTTAAGCAACAGAGGGGAGTGGCTGCTTCAAGAAACTTGATATGTAATGTTGGCCTTAGCGGGGATAGGGTCAGTATTCCTTGGGCTTTCCTAGACATTTAGTCCCAGTGTGCTGGCTTGTGTCACCACTGAGCAGCTGGCAGCCCTGGGGAAAGGGACGGCAGAGGTACCCACCCCTCAATCCCCAGCATTCAAACGGTGAAGGTCTCAAGAAAGACAATGACCATATTAAATTGCTGGGACCAGAGGGAGCAGAATTCCCTACAAAAGGAGCTTGATCCAAGAGATTAGGACAACTCTATTTTCTGGAAAGTAAGGCAGATAAGAGGGGCCAGGCATTAAAAATGACAAATAACAAAAAGCATAAAAGCATTAATAGTGCCAGGGTTTATGTTTGTTTGTGTTTAACAGCTTTGGCTCCTTGGCCCACTCATCCCACATTGCACTCACTGCAGATTTGACAGTTTTCACAACAGAGTAGGCCAAGTCCTCCCCACATCTCTGGGTTCCTCTGCAATAGCTGAAGTTCAAATGCTTAATTTAGTTTCCCAAAACACTTCCTTTGTGTAGAGCAAACCTCCTGGATGACTCCTGAGGAAACAGACAAACAAGCAATGGGCTATACAATATTCTGTCTGAGTGCACTGAGCATTTTTTTTTAAGAATGCAATTCTTGGAAAAAGAAAAGAAACTGCTTTCAGTATTCAGTTAAAGAAATGAGATGACCTTTAGCTTAATCTTTCTGCAAACAAGTATTGGTCTTTAACCTTAAACTTATGAAATGCATTCTCTATTAAAATGACTTAAGTCCCTTTCCTTCATCTTACTTCCTTGTCTTGGTTTAAGTATTTGTAACCCTCTTCTCAGAGAAGGCCACTATTCTGTCTTTATACCAATATTCACAGATATTGTGACCCAAAACCTGTGTTATCACTTGTAAGGCAACATTTTGAGTAACACAGTAGGTTAGAGCACAGTGCTAATAATGCCAAGGTTGTGTGCTTGATCCTTGCATGGGCCATTCACTTCATAGTTGGACTTGATGA